GCGTACGGGTTTCGCGGGTTTGTTTTCTTTATAAGGATTATTAATACTTGTTATTTGGGTCAGAGGAAAAAAAGAAAGGCTTTAAGAGGAGACAAAATAGTTATGGTAAACAGGAAACTTTCCGCAGTTGCGAGCGCCGTAAAACCTTTACGCTCCCCCCCCCCCCCCGAAAAAAAAAAAAAATAAAAAAAAATAAATAAATAATTAAATAATTAAATAATTTTTTTTTAAAAACAACATAAAAAATAAAACAAATTTTACAAAACAAAAACAACAACAAAAAAAACAAAATTTTGACTGCCAACCGTTCTATTATTTCCTGTATGAAGCCTTAATATAATCACTTCTCATGTCTGTCAGATTTCGGAAGCTGACGAGACTTCTACGCTCTATAATAAGTAGATCTATGTTTCATATCGCTTCATCACGTATCCCCTTCTGGGTGTTGACTTCTAGAATAATATACATTGGACTCAAGTCGAGTCTCATAGGTCGTTGAACTTTGTCATCATCTTAGAGGTCAATAAAGCTTGTTTTTCTTGTCCTAGATTACATTCGTTTTCTTATTTAAGGCAATGCCAAGTACAGATAGGTTTTAGGATTATTTTATGGCTGACATTATGACGACGTGATGATATCAAAGGTTATCTTTAAGAATACATCAGATATGTTTTGACTTAAAATGTCTTTATCGTAACAATGTTCTCCACTAGATACAGGATGTTCAATCAAGAGGTGCATTATTTGCTTTATTTGGTTGGTAATACCTGACAGAAAAGTACTTGCAGCCCAAGATGAAAAAGACTCAATGGTTCAAACCGCAAAACTTTCGCTGGATGGCCAAGTTGATTTGTTAACAGCACCAAGACGTTTAGGATTTCTAAATTACTTAACACGCACGATTAGAGTAAGCTTATCAAATAGTTAATATTTAATTCTCTACTATCGGAAATGCCAACGGACCAATGGTGTCTGTTTAGTTTTTAGTAGAGGTTTTACGGCGCTCGCAACTGCATACGGCCATATGAGCGCCAGAAGATTAGAGGTATTACATGAGAGTAACAAACATAAAAAAGAAGAAGGGGAGATAAGGACGATAGATGTTTGATAGGAAAGAAGAAGCAAACCACACCAGAGCACCCGCCAACCACCCACATGGTGTCTGTAGTCAAAAGTCGTTTCCCTAGTGCGCAAAGTAATGAGTTCGATTATTAGGCGGCACGGGCAAGATATTTAGTCTCAAGTCTCATCCTTATTTTCCCTGAATAAATGGGTTCGCCCGCAGATGAGCAGAGTGAAAGTAGCCTGCTGTCTAAGTCATCGGTATTTCTTCAGTGAAGCTGTATATAATATACTCGTACAATTATTTTTTTTTATGGTCATTGAAACTTTCCTCTTAAATATAGCTATTTTGTTTTAAAATAGAACAAACAAGTCAGACTGAGGGCCACATCTAATAACATAACGTCACGCTCATAAGATAAATGCCAAAGTTATTTTTACCCATTTGGAGAAAACGAGGGAATAAACCTTTTCTTTCGAAACATTGACTAGGAAACATTTTGGTACCGTCAGTTGATTCTACTTTTTTGGCTTATTCTTTGTCACTGAGAACTACCAAGCTGGCTTTGCTCTTCATTTCAAAAACAAAAACTCGAAACCAGCGAGAAATGACTTAGGCAATTATCTTATGAGTGTGACGATAATACATGCAGCAGGGAATGTAATAGCAATGATTGTGATAATCAAATCTGTTTCAGTGACAGTGGAAGCTCCAAGCCCTACACAATACTCACTACCTCCGACACCCAGGACACAAGGCAAGACTTTCGGAGCACCAAGAACTGAAGCAAGGCTCAGCAATGGTGAGTCAGTCCATGTGTTTGCCTTTTCCCCACACCTACTTCTCTAAACTCCCCCCCCCCCCCCCCCTCTCTCTCTTTCTCTCTCTCTCTCTCTCTCTCTCTGTCTGTCTGTCTGTCTCTCTCTCTCTCTCTCTCTCTCTCTCTCTCTCTCTCTCTCTCTCTCTCTCTCTCAGTCGCTCTCTGTTTATCTTTCTTCTGTGGTAGAGAGGGTGGGGGTTGAAATAGATTTCGTTGGCCTGCACGTTTCAAACATTTCAGGATGTTGTCCATATTGTATGTGTGTGTGTGTGTGTGTGTGTGTGTGTGTGTGTGTGT